CTCCCGCTGCTCCGATTCTCCGACCCATCTCACGCTCCATTGTTCCCTCACTCGAGAACAAGACCCCGAGATACTTGAACTCCTTCACTTGGGGTAAGGACTCATTCCCTACTTGGAGTGGACAGTCCATCGGTTTCCTGCTGAGAACCATGGCTCAGATTTGGAGGTGCTATCCTCTATTTATTCATTTTTATATTTCTACGTTTAAGCATTATCAGATGATTTGTTATGCCTTCCTTATGACTCCATTATGTTTTTGCCAGCGTGAGATATGTTGGCGTCACATCACTGCTGTGAAAACTCCCTCTCTACTGGGGACATCTGGGCATGTTGGCAGTGATCAGCAGAAGGACAGGTTGGATTATTCTGGATCATTTACTTCAAGTGTTAAAGTGTTTGAAACATCATATTTCCCCCCCCACCCCCCTTACGGATCATGGTCTCCAGCTTCATCAGCAGGAACAGGAAGCCGGGGTAGCTGATGGTCATGTCGGGCTCCGTGTACCTGAGGCCAACCAGCTGCATGATCAGGTCGTCCACCTGGATGCCTGCAGCGCTCACAGAACATCACTTTATTAACATTCATATGTTCAGTATGCCTGGGTTTAAATATATATTTCAATCCACATACGAAAAGGTTGAGGTGGAAGAAAGATTACAAATGTTACTCAAGTAAATGTAAGTATTACAAATATAAAAGTATTTCAAGTATCATTTTTTAATGCTACCGTATCAAACACTATAATGAGATTATTATTGTTATTTTAATTACTATAACATTACTTTCCATGTGAATATATAATAATTACATTTTTAACCATGTATTGTTGTAAAAACTCAAATTTCTATGTGCAATTTTAATCGGAACTAAAGCTGATAAATGTAGTGGACTATAATGAACTATTTATCAGATATGTGGAGGAATAGAAGTAGAAGTCAGTCTAAAATGAAAATACAAATAAATGTATTCTGATAATATAATGGAAAATGTAATTTTATGAAGGCGTTGAATGTAGTCAGAGTATATATGAATGATGTACAGTAATGATGCTGAGCAGTTAGAGGGGGTTTGTCTCCCTCTGCTGGTCAGGTGTGGAGCCTGAATATTAAACAGCTGCACGGCTTACACATGGACTGATAGATGCAGCTGAGGGAAGTGCTAAGGTAAATACACTTTTATTGATTTCTTTGATTTGCTGTGAGTCCCACCTGCTGCCTTGAGAGCGGGGGCCACCTCCTGGTACTCCAGACGATTTGTTTTGTTCTTGCCAAACACCAGGAAGATATCCTGAGGTCAGATGGAAAGCAAGTGAATAACATCATGTCTGTCACAACATTATTATCATCATTCTGATAGCATCATGCAAATGATCGACCCAGCTCCTGTTCCAAAGATTTGATCTTCTGATAAAACATGTTGTTTTTCATGATAAACAACACCTTGATGGTTTTATGTTTTTATCCAGCATGATACTTTTACATTTAAAATGGCAGTGCTGAAATACACTGCACCACAAAGGACTCAGTGTACAAATAAAGAAAGAGAGGGATAAGAAAAGAAAGAACCCCCACAGTGATTTAAGGAAGGATTCTTCAAATCAGCCTGTGGAAGACATCTCCTTTAACCATTACATGTTAGAGTAAATAGACAAGTGATGTGAACTGTCATCAACATTAAGTCATAGAGCACATCTGTGACAGGACTGTGATGTATGTGTGTGTGTGTGTGTGTGTGTGTGTGTGTGTGTGTGTGTGTGTGTGTGTGTGTGTGTGTGTGTGTGTGTGTGTGTGTGTGTGTTGATGATCTCACCGTCCACCTCCTGATTTTGTCCCACAGACTCTTGAACTCTGACCACTCCAAATTAGCGTTGCCTTGAACCTAAAGTCAAGTCAAGTCAAGGAAACACAAACAATGCTTGACAGTGACAACATGATGACTTCACTCAGTGTGAAATATCTATCATTTTGTATTTGATTTAACTCACAATTTAGCTGTCAAGTGTTTTGCTCTTGTTTGTAGTATTTAAAACTTGTCTCGCCCAAACAGGGACTTGAACCCTGGACCCTCAGATTAAAAGTCTGATGCTCTACCGACTGAGATATCCAGGCTCTGGAAGGGGTATTATACATTGTGATAGAGGAAACAAATGTTTCTACTGTGCTATAGTCTACAGATCTTTCTGATCTCAACTCTATTTTAGTGTTTCCCACATGCTCTTTTCTCTGAAGTTGACATCTACATTGTATTAAGAAATAATGTAAGGTAAAAGTATCAAACCTAAGGATCCAGAGAGAAGCAGGACCCATTCAGCTTATGTTGCTGAACTCACTGAGGGTCCTGAATGAAGAGTTATTTACTAACTATCCTGGCTCTCATGGCAGTGATTTACATCAAAGAAAATATCACACTATAAATCTCCACGAGGGTCAAAAACGACACCTCTATAAAAACTCTCTTCACTAATACTAACAAACTAACAGATATGACAGAGATATAGATAGAAATGACCGATAAGGATACATCCGTGAGGACCACCAGGCTCTTGCAGTGTTCCAGAGCCAGGTACTTCTCACTGCCAGCCAACACTGAGACAGAGAGCACAGAGGGCATTAGCACATGCATTCAGTACACACAAGTATAAACAGTGTGTTAATGAGAGTGAGACAAGTCATCAGAGAAAGTTGCAGGCTGGGCTGTTTGGAGTGGCACAAAATAATTTCTTAAACAAAAAAAAGAAATGTGATATTATACAGAGGTATAATTAAAATGTGGATTTCCTTATTGCTCTTAGAAAGATCAAAGACAAATAAACGTTTGAAAAATGTTATATAAAATGTATTTAAATGCAAATAGTATATGAAATAAGAGAAGAAAAAAAAAAATATATATATATACCGGTATATATATATATTTATTTTATATATATATGTATGGGTGTGTTTAAAATATATATATACATATATATATTGAAATATATATATTGAAATGCTAACAATATTTTATTTAGATATTTCTCTATATATTTGCACAATTATTCATTCTTGAATATGAATGTTGTTATGTTAATGACTCTCAACTAGCAGGTCTCAGTAGAGGTACAGTAGGAGTGGATCCCAGTGGAGCCAAACCCATGCCAGTGTGCTTCATAGTTGTTCAGTCATTATACAAATTAAGTAAAAGACACAAATAGACCTATTTTCAATCTTTCTCTTGTTACTGTGCTGTACATCCTCCTTCCTGCCGTGCCATAAGTTCAGATCTGCTCTGATTGGTTAGCTGGCCGTCTCTGTTTTGACCATGTGTTTTGATTGTTCATCTGTTTGCACTGTGACAGGGATGCACTACAAAATCTCATTGTATACAGTATGTTTGTATAATGACAATAAAGGCTTTCTATTCTATCTATTCTTCCTACCAGTAGCTTTTACAGCAGAATTTAGACTGAGGCCTCAATCCTCTTCCATACTCCATGTTAACATGTCGTAGAAAATGACAGAACATTATCAGAAGAGGAGAATTGTATTATTTTACCTCTAACTTCACTACAGCTAGATGGATACACTACACAGTGATGATCTGATCTGGCTGTGGAAGACGTTATGGAGCTGGATTATGATGGCAACTAGAAGGAAAGCTATTGGTTCCTATCTAACTTTGAAGAGGAAGCCTGATGGAGTGTCTGCAATTTAAAACAAGTCTCGCCTGAACAGGGACTTGAACCCTGGACCCTCAGATTAAAAGTCTGTGCTCTACCGACTGAGCTATCCAGGCTGTGATAGCCCAAATCTATAACAAAGAATAAAACCTTGCTATTGTTTAGTGGTCTCAAGTCCTCTACCACTGCTGGGGGTGATTGTGATTCTTCTTATAGCCTGGCTGCAAACTGGGCCATGTTTAAGTGGGATTCAATCCAGGACTTTGGTGTACGAGCCTCACAGATTGAAGACACCAGGAAGCTCATCTTGCTGGAACGAAGCGAGAACAGGTCCTTATTTTTTAATGAAGCTGCGTTGTAGTGCAAGCGAATTTAGGATTGGAGTCATGTCAAATATGCAGGGAGGCCCTTATTGAGACATCTCAAAAAGTCAAAAACGTTGCATGAAACACAAGAAAATTGTAAAAAGATCATACTGCACTGGTGCACTTTACCTTTATACTTCTTCTACTACCTGTTTATATCTGCACACACTGCAGTATACTGTACATACGTTTTATCATTTTTTATATTTCCGATAGATACACATTTATAAATGTTACTCTGTCCATATTACTAGCATGTTTTGCTTTCATACATTTTGTAGTAGCATTGGCAAAGAGAGCCTGGGAACAATGACTATAAGGACCACTCCATGGTAATGGAGCATATGACAAACACAGAGCAGATCTCGAAATAGAGATTTGAAAAGGCATGTTATGAAATACAGCTTTATTCTGAGCTCAGTAGAATACCAAGAGGAACTGACTGCAGCAAACCAACAACCTCTGGGTTCCAGGTTCCCCTCAACAAGAACACCAGTTTGTTTTGTCTTTAAAATTAAAGAAGTTAGCTTTATTTTTAACTAATGTACATGCAGGATTCATTCTTTCTTTGATGGAGTGTCTCCATGGTTGGTTGCACTTATTGTAAGTTGCTTTGTATACATACTTCAGATAAATGAAATGTAATGGAATTCTTCTTTCAAACAAGAACAACATCAGTGTTGACGTGTAACACAGTCACAAAGCCACTGACCTCCTCCCTGTATGGCCTCCGTCAGCAGCCTGTACAGGTGCAATGGTTTGCAAACGCGTTTCTGGTGACACAAAGCAACAATCACAACACAAAACATAAGGCTCAGTAAAACACACACAGAGATCATCAAAACATACAGCTCTTTACAGCTGAGCTAGTATTAACTGCCGTAAGTGGCAGAATGGCTTACCACACCACATCTGTGCCAAGGAGCTCAGAAAAAACATTTGAATACATCATTGCTATATTCTAAACTGTCAGGGAACAAATGGGGTTTACAAAGTTGAAAACACACTGTGGTACCTTTAAAGTAGACACATTTGTAGATGTTTCTAAAAGGGGAACTATGTTAATCCTCCATTTTGTATAAACGCTACGTTTATGGTGTTCATGGTCTAAGTGCAAAAACATAGGTTAAACTTTAACAATATCTCTAAAATCCCCCAAACTAGAGCGCTAAAACTCAAATGTGTGATGTCATCCAGTATAACGTTTGGAATCTACCCATAGACATCAAACTCTTAAATATGTTAGAGATGACACTTGAGAGTATATTGGAAAAGGTTATGTTTCATAATTGAGAACACTGCAATAGAAAGATCTTAGACCTCCTCCTCGATGACATCACAGGATTGAGACTTCATTGCTGTTTTAGTTTTGAGAGACAGTAGCTCAAGTTGACATATTTTGATGAAGGCCATGGAAATAACATATTGGAGTTTTTTTAGATGGTGCTTCCTTTAACCACGCTCAGGTCTGGAGTTCAGCAGAGGATCTCACCTTGTTGCAGTGCTTCATGAATAGTAGTTCGATATCTTTAAGAGAAGGAAGAGCCGCCTGGTGACGATATGAAGGCTGCAGACAGAAAACACAGCCTTAACTCAGAAACAAAACTTACACAAACACATCACTACTTTATAAATGATTAGCTAGAAATGCAGTTTTTATGGATCTAATTTACTCAGAGAAATTGACTAAATGTACCTCCAGAGTGTCCATATGTTGCATAGATCCATCCCTTAGATGAGGTGTTAGGCATTGTTTTGTTTTTTTACAATATATATATACAAAATATATTTATCGGTGTAGAAATCAACATTTATCCCTCCATTTCTTCTACCCGGTGCATTCTGGTACATATCCCATCATGTTACAGGCCAGTGATAGACTTAACACAATCTGCGTCTCCTAACAACACTGGCACTATAAAGAATGCACTGACAGGTTTTTACAGCCTCACTGTGGCCCAGAATTCCTCCTTAGTCAGGACGCTCAGTGAGATTTGTATTTATTTATTATCATTATTTTTATAATCTAACCATGATTGTACCAAATTCAGAGCCCGGATAGCTCAGTCGGTAGAGCATCAGACTTTTAATCTGAGGGTCCAGGGTTCAAGTCCCTGTTCGGGCGAGAGTTTTAGAATACTACAAGCAGACGGCGGCAACAACATGACAAAGCAATCAGAAGCTAAGAGGTCTAATTATTAACAGTTATGAATGAAACACAGTATGCACTTCACACTAACATTAATAATAAACACATTTAGAAAAGTAACTGAGGAATCAAATGGAAACCTCCTAAATATAACACAGTGAAATTTGACCTCTCTATTTAG